CCACACGTTTAATCCATGTTGGTGTACTACAACTACAAAAAGCATCGGTTTGTTTTCTCATCAGGAAATGCAGACTTGCTCAAACAAACGATTTTTAAATCATCATCCTCACGATCATTTAATGTATCATATGTTCGCTGAATTGACATGAAAGCACTAATAAATGTAGTTTCATCCACTTGAGTTTACAAAAATAATCAATTTGTTTTAATTTGTTTTTATATCACATCCTACGGGAGGAAATTCAGCAGCTCTCACTACCGATTTTTAATCCTAATTTAATCATCATCTTCACCACGATCATTTATGTTTATGTTCGCCGAATTGACATGAAAGCACTGACAAATATGAATATACTGTAGTCAACTTCATTAAAACGTTATTAACGCTGAGTAATTCACCATTTCTACGCACAACACACTTTGTCCGTGTTTGGCTCTCTCGCCGCACAGTGAAGCGTTCCCGCATTGACGTCACTTCCGGCTTCCCCCAAAACCTCAAAATGAGTCGAAGGAATTTCCCCGCGATGTTCGAAATTATTGATATTTATCGGAACGGTATCGCATCTTCTTTTTTAAACTGACGGTTCGAGATGACTAGTAGCCCAATATTTCATTGCACAACAGTTGTTGGGATGCTGTCACAGGCTCTTTAAGTAAAAGCATACAAGTATCAGCATCATATTATACTTAAGTAAAGTACCCATTATGAAGGCTCATTTCAAAATCCTATATATTAAATTATTGTAATATATTTATTGATACTTTAAATATACTTTAATGTTGCATATGGTATATTGGTGCGGTATATTTGAATGTGACTTTATTTACTGCTGGTAGCTTAACCTACAATAATACACCATCATGTATTAGTTTAATTATATTGTTTTATTAATAACAAAAATGTGCAGATAGCTGGTAACAAAAGCTATAAAATAACACTTACACTTTTTGGATGTCTGAAACCAGTTTGAAGAGAAGGCAAAACGTCATTGTGTTTAATATCTGCACATCCAGTCTTCTACACACTGAATCCTCCCTCTGGGTTTGTCGAGGACATTCCTGGGGAGGGGAATGGGACTTGGCTGGAACACCGTGTTGAAACGGCAGGCTTGGGCGGAACATCATCGCAGAAAGGAAAGCAGATGAGAGACTGATATGGAGGCAGAAGCAACCTCCTTAAGAGGGAAAGGTCAACGGTGCAGAGTGACCTTCTTGCTGAAGTTCAAATTCTGCTCTCCGAATCCTTGTGGGTGTTTTGTGTAAGCAAATAAAGAAGAAACTTGTTTATGTTGTTCTGGTTGGTTGCTATACATCTTCAAAGGTGACCACAGACAAAGACCACTAACCGCATTCATTTAGCACTTCCTTGTCTTTGTGACCAATCACAGCGCCGTTGCAACACAAGGAATTGTGTTAAAAAGTGTAAGTTGGACATAGACTGTTACACTACTTTTAAAGAGATGACTGTGCATGGAGCATTATAAATATGGCTATGCCCATTGGGAGCTATTTCAAACCACTATCTCCGCATACTGGACTTACATACACATGATGGTGTTTCAGGCTCATCGCTTTGTTTTGTGATTTGTCTCAACTGCCTGTTCCTAAACTCTGTTGTTAACAGTCGTGTCTTCACTTGTTTCTCTTCCTGCCTCCTCTCCTCTCTCCTCTAGCTGGTCATCAGATGGTCCGTACTGCAGGGTGGTGAAGGAAAGTGGGAACTATGTGGAGTGTGCCTGCTCCCACATGTCTATCTTCAGCGCCTATGCAGAGTTTGCCACGCTTGCTTCCTACAACGAGGCCTTCTACGCCTCAGGACTCATCTGCACCTCGGGTACGAAACACACCCTCTCCCTCTCTTCTTGATTTTGTTTCCTGGGTTTCTCTGTATGCCCACTGCCTACTTTTCAGCTTTCTCTGTGGTGTGTTATTTCCGTATCCCTCCCACGTTGTTATAAATAGCCGCTGCTTAAAGTCAATCTAGCACTAATGTTGCTTCCATGTGTTCTCCCTCTGCAGGCTTTGCATTGGCCATCATATCCCACATGCTGTGCTCCCGTTTCCCCATGTTCGCTGCCAAACTGCTCACTCACATGATGCTGAGCTGCCTCGGGACCCAGGTAATACAGTTCTGATCTAATATTATGTAGTACTGCAGTCCTTTAACATAAAAGGCCGCTGAACACCCACAATTCACAGCTGATGAAGTGCTTCCTTCTCCCAGCCATCTGCATTAGTTCCTTTGGCATTTTCATTTGTATCTTCTATTTTCTATTATGCCTTAAATGTAGATGGATAGTGAACCTTTAGAAAATCGTATAGAGGCATTCATCTCTCTCTCTTTGCTATATGGATCAGTGGCTCACACACATTAGTAAGGGGTGCAGTGGGTTAGTGCGTTGGTGTTCGGATCAGGGGAGCAAAGGTTCAAACCCCATTGCAGTCAGCATGTCGTTGTGTCCCTGGATGAAAGTGTCTAACAAGTAACATGTATAATGTCGCTAGTGCAACACACACCCTGACACCTTTGGCTTTTATACTGACATAAACATACAAATGCATATACTGCTTATAGTTTAGACCTTCATTGAGCAAACACACACACAGTGGTGGAATGTCGTGAAGTACATTTACTCAATTATTGTTCTTCAGTACAATTTTGAGGTACTTTAATTTTACCTGAGTGCTTCTACTGCTCTACATGTATTTGAACATCTTAAATACTTTCAGATCATTAGCTTAAAGAAATGTCAGAAAACTCATATATAAACATTGGAATATTAATGTAGGTGTAGCTATCAAGCAGTAGTATACATATAGTAAATAGTTAGTAAAAGTAATTTGATATGATTCTGAAATCTTCCCCAGTGCATACCAAGTACTACTTTGACTATATTTTGATGTTCATACTTGTACTTTTACTTGAGAAAGATATTGAATGCAGGACTTCTAGTTGTACACACACACACACACACACACACACACACACACA